TTATGTTTTCTTATAAAATTACTATAAAATCAATAGTATTTCATTAATAAAACGTTATCCAGTAGTCCAAATAAAATAATTTTGATACTATTGGATTCGTCCCACAGAGACGAATCAAATGGTACCAAAATCATTTTGATTGGATCACTGGGTCATAATATATCCAAGTTTTTGTAAAATTTTATATATAAATATAGATTTTTAAAAAATTTTTATATAGTCTGGGGTCAAGAGCTACTATATAGGGGTACATAACGTTATATATGGATGCCCCCATATGAGTATTATTGTTTCATTAATTATATGCTAATAAAGATAAAAAACAAAAGTTTTATTTTCTAATATTAAAAGTTATTTAATTTGATTGTTTAATTATCATGAGCAATCACGAGTAATATAATGATCTACAATATACATATTGTTTACTTGTTTATATTTTTTGACCAATCAAATCAAATGTCCGCCATGCTTAGTAAAAACAATACATTTACTTATATCATTATCATGCTTTACAAAAGAAAATATCACTCATTCCATCTCATATTGAACATCCACTTTTGTAAATTTTGCAAAATACACCTTTGACCTATAATAAAAATTTAAGCTATAAAAATTAATAACTATAAATCAGCAGAAGAACCATCGACATTACACGACTGATTCTTCACCCAACGTACAATATATAAAAAAACTATTTTACAATACCAGATCATTCTGCTAGTATGATTATAATTTTATTGGTGTGGTATTATAATTATAACATGTATTAATGGAATAATCTGGTATTGTAAAATAGTTTTTTTATATGTTGCATATCAGGTGAAGAATCAGTCGTATAACATCGACAATTCCTCCTATTCCATAAATCAGAACTACGCATTAACGTACTATATATATCTATTCTCAGCAAGACTTTGTTTAAAATATTTCAACTATTCATAAATTTCATCAAAATTAGACACTATATTATCTAATTTAGAAAACTTTTTGTCTAATAAATGCACTTTCTGAAATTAAAAAATCAATTATTAATATATTAAAAACATTAAAAATGCATCTTTTTGATTGAGTTTATATACTTTTTCAAATCATAACCAAACGTCTTTGCGATAGTAAAATACCTGATTTTTATACATTGCATGAGTAGTTATATAGAAAGTAGTCTGAGTAAAATAAATATATAAATAAAATTTCATAACAAGAAATTGAATCTGATAAGTATCAAGAATCGAAATTTCCTTACTTGAAGTAGTGGAATAACAAAGCAATCAAATATCCACCAAATAAATTCGTATAATAGTTCAGTACGTTTATTAGCTTCAACTTTGTTATTTTTATTACCCTTTACTATAAGCCACATGTACTGCATAATCTTACAATTCAATAAATAAAATAATCTTTAGAACTGGCAAGCTATATTATAATAAATAAAAGAAAAAATTTAAATACTTTGAATTTTGTTAAAACGTTATACAGTGGGAGCTCTTCATGAAATTTAAGTAAGATAAACACTTCTATAGCTATTAAAAAAAAAAAATTAATTATACTAATAACAAATAATTTAATTATTTCAAATATATTACCTTTAAATATAATTTTTTTATTATCATCACAACCCCAAAATATTTTTGGAATTACTTCTTGCAACACTGCATGAACAAACGTATATACCTATATTTATTAAAAAGTCTAGCTTAAACAAAATATTCAATTGCAAGAATTATTTATTATAATACAAAATACCTAAAACATATTCGAACTAGACTGAATATAATAATTAATGTCTGTGGAAGAAGTTAATAACCCATCTTGTGCCTGTTAGAGTTAAAAAAAAAAGTACCAAATAAATTATTTGTATTTGTTTGATTTTATAATTAATTGATGATTCTCTAGTCAACTGATGCGTAATTTTAATAAAAAGTAACTCAGATTACTATATAAATTTACTATGGTGCGAATGTGGTGTTCGCCCAAGGTAAACTTTTTTTTATACTAAGTTAATCATCTTTCTTGCATAAGAGACTTTTGTAAAGCTTGTCAAGATGCATCTAATGGTGGTTAGTGCGTCAAAATCAGCCTGGTGAGTACTGAAATATCTTTAAAAAACCTCTCTTTTACTATGTAAATTTCTTTGCAAACAATAGTATTGTTTGCAAAGAAATTTACATA